TTACGCAGGTACACCGGACGTCTGAAAGTGATCGAAACAAAAGGTGCATTGGTTTAACAGATTGCGTTGATGGTATGCGATAATCGGTATAAACGCTGGATAATCGGGAGCATGAGCACCACTAACCGTGCATGCATGTATGATGTATGTATTATGTATGTATGTATGTATGTATGTATGTATGCACGTATGTATGTATGTATGTATGTATGTATGTATGTATGTATGTATGTATGTATGTATGTATGTATGTATGTATGTATGTATGTATGTATGTATGTATGTATGTATGTATGTATGTGAACATATACATACATATGCACACATCAGCTCTTCGTCATACGCCAGCAGTCGAAAATGATGCTCTAGCGTTCGCAGCTATACCAGCTGCGTATAAAAGGGGCATCCTTGTGATTCGTATATTCTAAACGTTGATATTGAAGCACCTCCTCTTCCTCTCGCATCGTGAGGGCAATGATGCTCTTTAAGGCACGCGTACGCCATTCGAAATAAAAACAAATAACGTATTTAACCCATCTATCCTAAGTAAAAGCGATAGCCACACTATAATTCACATTGAGCACTTCTTTGTTTTTTTCTTGTATTATACACAATTGGCGGCGACCGATGACATGTGACGCGAATGAAAGCTTCCCGCCGAACCCAGACGCACCTACTGTATGTACATCGTCAGCACGATCGTGTCTATGATTTAGAGAGGCCAGCTGTGGCTATAAACGCTCCGGAGCAAAAAGAATCGTAAGAGCTGTAATTCTAGCGACTAAACTCCCGGCTCGTCAACAGCGTGGTCGTTTGTGGTAATTGGTAAGACATATTGGCGAATTTCCGCGCCTAATGACGCAGTTAGGAAGATAATAGTCGCGGGTTCGAATCCCGGCCCACATTTCGACGGAGGCGCAGCGTCGGAAGCCCGTGTACCGGGTACGTCAAAGAACGCCGGGTGGTCGAAATTTCCTCAGCCCTCCATTACGGAGTCCCTCATAATCATATCTCGGGCTTGGCGCGGAAAACACCAACCGTATATATTATTAACCGCTGTCCTCGGTGTTTATTAAGTCCATGAGTCTCTATGCGGTGCGTTTTGCCAATCGTTTCTTCGGTGGCACGACATATAGCTAACTCGCGAATTAAAGTGAGGCGCTGGACGGCTGAATTTTAGAATAGAGGGTGAACGAAATAACAACGGATGGCCAACCACTAGCAAGCATTAGGACGCCAGTAACTATAATAGTTGGATTAGGTGTGAATTTAGTGGGCCACGATCATCACCCCCCCTTTATGAAAGTGGGCGGAGGAAGCCCGCGAAAGACACTGCCTTCAAATACCGCTTAAAATAGGCCTGAAACAGCGCGTCAAAGTCCTCCCGCCTCCACTTCGTTGATTAGCCACAAGGAGAACGGACAACGGAATGGACCCCGTACAACAGGTGGGAACCGTTATGCGCACGTGCCACGAAAGCTCGCGGTCACGAACGAAACCGAAACCAGCGGATTGCTAAGCCTCGTCTTGGAAGCCACAAACTACGGGGGAAAAAGAAAAAAAGAACGAAAGAAGCGAGCTATCAGCCACGCAATGGCGTCACGATGCCAAAGTGATCGTTTTACGCCTGCGAGAGGACAAGTTCAGGCGCGGGCGCGCTCCGCCTCGAAAATGCTGATGTGGGCGCGCGAGCATGTGGGAGTCGTTCGTGTGTGTTGGTTACGAACGAACGCAATGCTGGGCGGTCTCCGCCATATTTCATCACCGCTTGTTGTGTTTTTTGCCGAGTCTGCGCGAGAAAAAAAAAAGGAAACGGAAAGATGGGGGTGAAAGGACAAAAAGCATGACCCTACAAAGTCCAGCACAGCTCGCTTCCTCCGCCACAGAAAGAACAAAAAGAACGAGAAACGCAGGTGCTTTTGTAGGAACGGGGTGCTTTTGTTGCACCGAAGCAGCGAAATATCCCGTTTTCAGTCGAATATAAGCGGCCCTCCCACAAGCTTTCTTTTTTCCCCCTTGACCAAACCACACACAAAACCAGAATGTGTTGTAAAGGCCCAACCATGCTGATTGAGCTGTTCTATTAAAACTCTAGTCCCGCTTAAAGGTGACACTAAGAGACTTAAAATTTCTGGAAACAATCAACAGGTGCACTGGAAAGCCAGGTGACAACGATTTCAACACAGTAGCATGCATACATAATGTAACCAATTTCGCAAAAAAGGGTCGTTCGGGATACAGAAAGCTTGTAATAATCAGCAGTTAGGCTCGTCTTTTAATGGTCAGACTTGTCTCTGTCACGTTGGCTCCAGCAACATTCACTATTAAGCGATCGCTCATCACCTAACAAGTAACTGTGGCGTGACATCATACACGAAGTAGTGATTATCTCAGCCTGCCAACCCAAATCCCAGTCCAGTGCAACACCTGCAATCTTTAGGATCTAATATCCATTGACGGTGCTTTGAACACTTCAACTGCTACGAAAATCATGCTTTTACTAAAAACAACCGTACTGATATCGCAAAACCTTGATCATTAAAATCAGTTACCTTGGTGAACATACAGTCTTCAATTACTTCCTTTGTTGCAAACATACTCTCAAAAACACCTCTTGTCTTCTAGGGAGGCAATTTTTATCATTTTTTAAAGCAGATGCCTTGTAAAGTAGCAGTAAAAGAATAATGCAGAACGATGACCATGCAACATCACTGACTCATGCTTTATAAAATGTTACGAAACATCAAGTTACTAAAGGATACTCGGAAGATGTGGCTGACAGGAAATAAAACAGTCATCCTCGCAACGTGTAGCGAAGTGTATTGTCTCAACACCTAATCCTTCAGCATATTCATGAATGTACCACATATATCTAATCCTGTACACCCGGCAACTCACATGCACAGTGGTGGGATTGTAGGGCTAATCACGAGCAGCTGATGCTTGCATAGATGTAGAACATAAAACCAAACAATGTGTTCGAGATCGACAATCACACTGGCAACCACATTCTTGTTCCAAAGGTGCTATGGGTGCTGACTGAAGATGTTTGCGACAAACCCGTGCCTTCAAACATAACTAGACATCCATCTTTGATTGCGAAATAGTATTGATATAGTTAACTTAGCTTCCACTGCAGCTGAGTCCAATTATACAAACAACAACACGTAAACCACATGTGCCTCATTATATAGCATTTTTATAGTCGTTGGCACTGTAGGTGGATGCAGGGGAGGAGTATTTTTACAAGCCTCCTGCTTTTTTTGCAGTATTCGTGATCCCACTACAAAAGTGCTGGTGGCAAGTAAAGGTGAAAGCCACACATAATATTTCAGAGTGACATTAATTGTAAACCGATATTATTTATGTCACAGTGCGTAAACTTGTGCGAATTATAGCGAGTTGGTGCTCATAAGATTAGAGGAAAACTGAACACTGAGGAACATTAGCTATAGTCATAGCTATTTGATTAGCGATGTTTCAATGAACACAATGTAGCCAACAGCTGTAAGAGTGATATGCTTTTTATCAGTGTAAGTGATAAACGCAACTATGCCACTTTCCAATGTATCAGAGTGGAAAGCTGCTGCACGAAGACCGCCCCCTGGCCCACATACTTCCTCTGATCTCCATTTATGAATTTCTGGGCTCTTTGGTGCCTAGTCGCCGAGACAGATATAAATTTAACCTGTCTAAGTCAAATCCACTACCTTTCTTAATGATAATGCTATGTTAAGCTGGCATGACAAGTTTTCTGAATGTGAGAAAATACTACTGACCTTCAGTACAAACGAAAATGTGCGAAATTCCTCCTGTCAACAGGTGCTTCCAATGAATGGGCGTAGTGACATTATTAAAGATACGAACGTTTGGAATGCATGTATATAAGCGAGCCAGAGATAACACAAAGCCCTGCGTAATCACATTGCCATAAATGCTGCGATGGTAAAAAAAGAACCCACGGGGCGATTAACTGGGAGGAGTCTGTTTAGAGTTATATCCACCAAGACTTCGCAATCTACACTTCCTAAGGAGCATGGGCAATGGTTAATCCGTGCTACGTTAACCGCATTGGGCAAACCACACTTACGTAGCTGCTGTTAGGTTGACACTTTAGTCTGCCTAGTCAAAAGTAAACACGAAACTTGACGAGCGTAAGCGACACCACCTAAAACTACATCGAACCCGCACTAACGTCAAGCAGAATGGCAAGTGAGCACAGCACTCAAGCACGTGATTCCATAGATCATGCGGCCTTTTACGTTGAATCAGTAACCCTTGCAACGTTAAATCACGCTCGTACAATACAAACGACGCTGCACGCTAACCCGATTATAATCTTTCATCGGGGGAAACGAGACAGCCATCGTCGTAGCGGGGCTTTCGAGCATTTCGGCGGATCGTGCGCTTCCGGTTGAAAAAGAGGGGGGCGAAAAAAAATTGTTTTCTTTCCTTTTTAATTCGCGGGCGCCTCGCGAGAAGTGGCTCGGGCGATCGTGTACTGGTCCACAGAGCCACGAACTCGAGCCGCACTTACGGCGCGACCTGCAACCCTGCTAGTTTTCTTCTTTTTACGGTCACACAAACGAGCAGGCGCCCGCGCTGCAGAGGCGTCGAAGGAATGCCCCGAAAGGGCCACCCACACCCCATCTGCGAGCTCAAAGACCATCCCAAGACGGAGAATCCTCCAAGCGACACACTGGCCAGCGAAGTTTTTTTCGGGGGCATCGCCGAAATGAGGCCTTAGAGCCGCAGGCTGGCCAAACGAAGCGACTAGTAAATGTCCAAATAAGGACCGCTCCGTCGAATGTAGGCCGCCAGTGACCCGTAGACGTCGTTCATTCGCACGCGCCCTCGAGCGTAATTTTCTTTTTGTCGCACTATCACCACCTGTCAAAAAGCGGACCTAAACTGGCGGACACACTCGCAATGCTACTTCACCGAGCGTTTTTTGTTATCTAGCAGCCAGACGCTGGCCCGGCGGCCCACGACGGTCGTACCTTGGCGAAGTCGTACTCTTCGATCGGCGTAAGCTCCACGCCGTCCAGGTCGTAGTCCTCATCCATGGTGTCCATGACGGCCCGGTCGGATCGACGGGGGCGGCTGTCGACGACGTGAAGCGCTCTTCACGTGTGCCGTTGACGGGATGCTGCCGTGGCTGTTGCAAGGCCTAGCATCACTGACTCACGGACCCGTCAGTCGTCGGCACCGCCGTACTGCTCCGGCAGCATCGCCCGCGGACAGTCCCACACGTTGCTCCATCACCCTCTCCGACAATGTGCGACGGACAGCCGTTCTTACGCGTTCACGGCGATCGTATCCGACCGTTGTTGCATTTTGAAGGCGGCCAAAATAAAAGTCATAGCCCCCACCAGCACCAACGACAGCAACTACACCAACAACACGCCCCGAGCCGAGCAGCCAGCACGATCGGGCGAGAAAAGTTAAACAAAAAAATCAAAACTTAATAACTTCAATGTGGCCGGACGACTGGTTCGAAAATAGCTGAACATAGACAAAGCGAATTGTTTAATATATCCGAAAGTTCAGTCACGTATTGAAACAAAGGCACATAAATAATTTTATTAAGAGTTATAAAACAATAAATGTTGCTAAACTAAATTGAACTAGATTCCAGGACTCATGATTCTCGCAAGAGATGACGTGTGTTTCGAGTTGACGCGATGGCAACTTGGAGGCGGACGCCGGCTGCTACTGCTAGTTCCGCTGTTTATACGATGCATTCGACGTTTTGGAGCAAAATATTGCTGCTATTTATTGCACTTGTGCATTTAGGGACGTTAGTGTGCGCTGGTGAGTGAGTCTACGTACAGTTCGTGCGTGGGAACATAAATATCTTCATGGATAAAGCCATGTCCTTCGCGCTCGTGATGTTTCGTCACTGGATGCTTTGGTTCAGAATGTGATGTTCGCGTGGTCTGTGGTACAAGGTGTGTGGGGCAACGAATGCGAAAAAAATGTGACGCTGTCACTCGAGTGCCACAGTACGAGTGAGCTCACGAATTCAGTATGAGTGTGCTCACGAATTCCCATGCGTGTTGTTTCAGCTGTACGGATTCGCACGCACTGTTCATACGCACGTTCTCTGGTGTTGCTAACGTTTCGAAATTTGATCGGCTTCGCTTAACGCAGTGAAGCTCGTGCCAACCTTTCAGATGATCGAGTTTTTGTACAGTTGTAAGATTCTCTAAAAGCGTCACAAGAATTTTTACCTGCGTGCGCGTTTTCTTTGAATGACGTAGTCGCTCCTTTATACGTGTCACGTCTGCGGAGTGCCTAGAAAGCACGCTAATTGATTTTCTTTGAGCAATGCGTAATCACTTTTCGAATGGTGCGTTGATGTTCTGTGACTTTTTTGTGTAGCCCGTACTGTACTATTTATGTAACCATTCGTGGTGTCTTAGCTGCTAAATACGAGGGCGCGGGTTCGACTCCCTGTCTTGGCGGACGCTCGTAGAAGGTAGCGCATTGCATGAACGCCCGTGCACTCATATTTAGGCGCACAATCAAGGAATCCCAGATTTTCTGATGGTTTTCTTAACTGCATGTCTTATAATCATATCGTGGTTTGGCTGCCTAACACCTGTAATTCAGTTTCGCTATATACGTAAAAGCATTTTTACCGTAATCATGTTCGTATGACGGCAGCATTCTTGGATTCAAGACGCGCTCTTGAAAAAATACGCTTTGTAGACGTTGTATATAGTGCGAGTAAATCGATCAAACTCCCGCATTTTGCAGATTTGCAGTATGTGACATGCGGTTCGGTACTTAAACTCGAGAACCAGCAGTACCAAGTGCGCCTGCACTCCCACGACATAAAATATGGCTCTGGCAGTGGTCAGCAGGTAAGGTGTACGCACAAGTTGAGCACTGTGTACTGTTTGGTTGTGGACTAGTCGCCACTCCTTGCTTCACGTTTGTGCAGTCCGTGACGGGAACCATAGACCGAGAAGACAATAACAGCCATTGGGTCGTCAAGGGCAAGCGGGAAAAAGCCTGCCAGCGTGGGTAAGCATCCCAGATTGCCCACTGCTTGCCACTTCTCTCCGGCCTGATAGCCTTGCTACAATCTTTATGTTGGCTGTCCGGCAGCTCTCCACCTAGCCGTGTATCAGTCTGGGTAGCGATCTTTTTACAACTTGTCACTATAACAGACCATTGTGAATCGTAGTACATCATCCTGTAGCCGTGGATTCGACTGCTAGTATTGATTGATTCATTGTAGCTGGTAGGTTTGTTAGAGCTATAGAGCACTCTGTGGAAACTAACCTGTGGTATTGCCAATGTCATCGCGTTTGTGCATGACGAATGACCTCTGTGATTAAAGCAACATACCAATTGCAGGGATCCCATTCCATGCGGGTCACCTGTGAGGCTGGAACACTTGGTCACTCACAAGAACCTGCACAGCCACCACTTTGTTTCACCGCTGTCCAATAACCAGGAGATCAGCGCATTCGGGGATGGCGGTGAAGGAGACACGGGTATGTCATGCAAAGCTTGGATACTGAACATCATGGCAGGAATGCAATGTCAGTTATGTCGCGGTAACAGGCTGCCTTGTGTGGTCACATCTCAAGAAAAGCAACCTGTAACATGGCACACGAAAAGTGTTTGCATGTGCTTGCGGTATCTAGGAATATAAAAGCGATTGTAAATTGAACCACTTTTTGATTGGCTTTTATTTTATAGACACACTCCCTCTTTGGACATACCCAGAACATTATTTGAGATGGGCATCAGTTAATCTACATGATAATTTATTATCATGGTGCTTAAGTGAGATCAAAAAAGATAGCTTAAAATGGATATGAAGGGAATTCAGCTAAGATACGTCCTAAGGTCATCACATTTTCAGGGGATGTATGTTGCATAGAGCAAGATGCCTGCATATTTTTTTATTTAAATGTTTCTACTTTCGAAATCAGAGATACCAATACACTAAGTAGCGTCATTCCTTCTATATGGCACCTATGATGTGCACTCAAATCTGAACCTTATAGGTGTCTTTTTCGTGCAGGTGATAACTGGACTGTAGTGTGCAGCTCAGACTTCTGGGAGAGAGGGTCTCCAGTGCGTTTCAAGCACATCGACACTGACACGTGAGTACTAGCACTGTAATGCATACATACTGTCCCATGAATTTACACATTGTGAAAAAACTGACCTACACACAACTCGGAGTGATCTCCTGCGCTGCTGTCTCATGGGTAAAAAGCACTAGGAAAAAGTAGGGGCATAATAGTCACCTGAACTTCAAAGTGCATTTTATGTTCTACAATGCTTTTAGAAATGTGTTCTGTTCACTTACCTGTTAACCGCAGAAGTTAATTTGATTCAATCAGCAAACTTTTATGGATCTTTTTGTATTGTCAATGGACCAATGTACTTTCCAGTAAAAAGCTACGGTTACAAACAACGATTTGTACTGTCATGTACGTTCCACATGTTTTTTTTTTGTTTCCTGTATAATGTCACAAGTCAGCAAATAAATTCCACTGCAGTACCACACATACACGCACAGTAGTGAACCTAAAGTGGGAATTGTCTCACAATATACTGGTATGCACTTTAGTGTAGGTGGATGCATTCGACTTCTTTCAGTTGCATCTCTTCCATCTTGTGATGCAGGTGGCTCTGCTCTTCAGGCCAAACGTACGGACGGCCGATAGGAGGCCAAGTGGAAATATGCGGGCTCAGCTACCCGGACAACTCGTGCCAGTGGAAGAGCGTCGAGGGCATCTTCATAAAGCCGACGGATAAGATATCTGCCGGTCGGCTATTACATGACCACTCGGAACTATAATGCCTCTTTTGCTACACACCATCGCTCTTCACTGTGTAGGCTTGCCGGGCTCTCTTCAGTTTGGTCTGCACTAGCTGTGCTCCCACCTCATACATTGCTGCTCTTGGGCAGAGCGGTCTGTGCCACCTCGTACTGGCTCCCCGGTCCTCTCAATCGTCTGCTCAAGGACTGCGGAAGCGCCTGCACCGATAAGTCTGAAGCTTTAGTACAGGGGATGAAAAAACTGCTTCGATCTGAGACATTCCGCTGGCTGTTTTGGATGAGAAACCAGAGTTCTGGAGCAAGAGAATAAGTTTTTTTTCCCCTCAGATTTTCATGTCCATACTCATCAGAGTAAAATACAATGCTGTGCACTGGGTCACAGTGAAAGTATTCACATGTAGCTAGCAGATGCCAATGACTCACACTCATGCTCAAGGACTGTCAGTTGAATTCACATGTCGATGGCAGAGAAAGAGAGCGAAGCTCACCACAGGGCAAATTCATTGAGCTCAGCCAGTTGAAATAGCAAATTTTCTCCTCATCGATGGATAGAGAAACAAATTTTCACCATGGAGCAATGGATAGAAGGAATTGTATGCGGAACAGGAGGCAACCAAAATGAGCGTGACTAGCTTTTCTACTCTGCAGTGGGTGATCCCCTTCAGTCCAGGAGTGCAGCAGATTTAGCTTTTCGTCTTGCTTGGTAGACCTGCACACGCGCTGGTCCATCAGTAACAGCTAGGACAGCGTTGCCTCCCATTGCTAAGAATGAGCTTCAAATCAAACAGCAGGGTTCACCCTTGTGTTGAAATTTCAGTTCATCATCGCAATACCACGAGAGGCAAGCTCAACTAGTGCAAGCAACTGACTGACGAGGTCTTAGGTGTTTCTGTTTGAGTCGCTAGTATTTCTGCCAAAGCCACAAGCGGGAGTTGAATGAACACTTGTGGTGTTGATTTCAAGAGGGAGCGGAAGCCTTCACTGAATGCACCTCCAGTTTGATTCCTCGTCTCACTACATCTCCCATCATATGAACTGTTCACTTCTCGTCCTGTGTATGGAAGCTTCCAGTCATTGCCAAGTTGCTGCTGCACTGGGCGATCGGTGAATAGCTCGTCGAGACTTTATTTCATTATATAAGTACACAGAACCTTGTATATGAGTCATTGTTGCTACTACACAAGTATGCTGTGATGTTTGAGATTCACTTTTGTGACGTGCTCTTGCAATACTGTTAAAGTAGCAACCATTGTTTGCGTTTCACAGGGCGGTTTTGAAGAATAGTTCAGCAACAACCTGCCTCTTCATTTCTATTACAATAATAACACTCGATATGTGTGAATGGATTACAAGTTTGAGACTTTACATGTTTAATAAAGCATATCGAAACTCCACATTACATTGCTTTTTGTTCTAGCCATGTTGCAACCTCTATTGTGTTGCATGAAGTAGATCTCACTCTTGCTGCAGAGTACTAAATACAACTACCCATTTACATGCACTTTTTTAGCTTTGTCACATCAAACATGATTATGGTTATCCTAGTGTAATTATTACATTTATTTCCTCAACAAAATTTGCAAGAAGCACCTTTTCTTCTTCACAACATTTAGTGCAGAGCTGTATATAACTAATCACAAGATTTATTTGTCTTCATTGTCAAAACAGTCAAGAAAAAACTTAGCTAAAGTGGATGCTCTGGCCAGTAGGTTCATAATAAGGAAAAAAAAAGGCATGCTAAATAATGTAACAGTAAGAAAAAACACGCAGATACGATGTTGCAGAATATGGAAAAAGAGCTCTTCCACAAATTAGAGCAAAAGGCAGTGTTTGCTGCTCGCATTTCCCTTGGGAATTGCAAAGGCAAAACACCAAAGTATTCATTTCAATAAGAAAAACCGCAAAACAAGTGTTAAACTAATATTACAGATCATGAAGTGTGTTACAACCATGCAAAACAGCAGCGTTCATCGCACGTGTCTTCCGGTAAAAATTGTGGTTGCAGTTTATGCAGCCGCAACTCCTGCTTTGGTAGCATAATGTACAGTTTGTCACCATACATTTATGGTGATAAGAATGTTCTGCAGGAAGGCTACACATAGTCAGGATTCCCAAACAAAAGTGTGATAATGACGGTACTGAGCATTTTAAGGTCATGCAGTCAGTCATTTCATGTAGTGTATTTTTGTTAAAACATATACGGTTACGCCAGATCGGTCCATAAGATAGGCTGATTTTTTCTTGCGCATAGAGTAATCTCTCAATGTAGTGACTGTAACATACAGGAGTTTCTGCAATACGTCGAGTCCATTTTCCTGACCCTGAGCACATACCGTTGCACCAACGTGCGCTTTTATAAATATGGCAGCAAAGCAAATGCAGCAAATTCGCATGAAACCATGCGAGAATTGGGTGAACATAATTGGTGAATTGAGCTTTCTAACTAAGATTAATCAAACAATTGCATATTGAACTTTAAAGTAGAATTAGAAATTGCATCTCTTTGCAACCTGTGCATAGTTTCTGTTCCACAATCGCTTTAGCGACCTTAGTAAACGACATGCAGTTTTGATGGCTGTAACATTTTACATAACACCTTAGTATAGGCTACTCCACAATTTCATACTATTATGAGTCCATCAAAAGTTCATAGATCCACAGAAACTTGCTATTAGGCATCATTTGTAGGCTTGTGCGAATAGTGAATTTTAGGTTCGAAGCAAATAGTAATTTTGGTCAAATAATTTCAAATCAAACTTAAATAGTATATACATAGCATATTGTAAATAAAGATAGGCACATTTGTCACCACCAAACTACTTGTGCAACATTTTATTTTGTTTTTATTGTAACGTGGCCTGTGTAAAAGCTATTCTTTTGTTTAAAAGAAACTTGAAACAACTTTGATTAGTAGCAGGATTTGCCTTTCATTAGAATGCGAGAGACAACCTGTAACATGTTGCACTTTAAATTTATTTAACTGTAATTAGAGCACATAAGCTGGAATAACAAGCTTTTAAACTTAAATAATGAATCTGTGTGAGGGTAAGGTGTTAATTTAACCCTGAAGTTGGGCTTTGTGGTATTGCTGATTTACCCTGGATACATGTTTTCACGGTTTAGCACTTCCTTATTGCAGTGATACTATCTTTACAAAAAATTACCTGCGGTATAAGATTTATTTGTTCATTTCGAACACTTTGAAATTTCCAGCAATTTAAATTAAAATAGAAGTTAGTTCAAATACAGTAATATTTGTTGAAATATTTGAGATGCTCGAATATTCGTACAAGCTTAATTATTTGCAGGTATGGGCAGTTAACATGGCACTTCTTTAATGAGTTCTGTATGTATAAAAAATACAAACCACCTAACCTTTTACTTAAAAGTGACCAGTTAGTAGGTCCAAGTAAACTCGCATCAGGTACAAAATTCACATAAATCAGAAGCTGGCCTGCGTACAGATGCAGGGACAGAAGCGTGAAGTCATAATTTCACAAACTTCCTCCTCCTTTTTTTTTTTTTTTGTACACATGCTCTCAAGTGAGAAATCCTTATATGGAGCTCAGTGTACAAGCACACTATTGACTTATGTACTGCTTGCTCATACCTAGAACAAGCTTTTCGAACCATTCATTGCGCACAATTTCTTGTGTTGAATGAACCTAGTGAAGCTGGGAAACAATAGCACTAACAAGTCCTACATTTAAGAAGCTGCAATCTTGTGAAATCGACCCATCAGCTGTTCTGAAAGTTCGAGAAACTTTTGCCCCATGATGCTTTTATTGGGGGTGGTGGAATAGTAAAATTTCTTCTCGAATCGTATGGTGGCCAAAAATATTGAATGCAAAAGTTTGATTGAAAAGGAAAGGAGAAAAACATGAAATAAAATTTCACTATGAAAAATTTTTCGCTTCAACATTTCGCCATGGAAAATTTTATAGGAACTTTCATGCAGCTTTATGGGCGTGCAGGCATGTTGATATAAGAGCTGCCATTGTGGTTAGCAGCAGCACTCTTAACCTCCTAATGGATAACAGAGAGGCGTGCGGTAGTCTGGCTCGTCTTACAAAGGTAATGTGCTTCATAGTCATGAATGCTCTGGGCTCGAAAATTCTCGGGCGCTCGTTAAAAGCAACACATCAAACTGCTTGCTGGAACGGTGGGAATTTCTGAACAATTGGCAAGGTACAGCAGTGGCAGCGGCACAGCAGAACAAATTTTCACACGTGAAGCCAATCGTCATAGGTTTCCCAGCCCAATCTCGGGATGATTTATGGCACTTGCGGCATACACGACCAAACTAGGCCAGAAGTCTGTGCCTTGATTTTAGAAGCGAAGTCGTGAAGAGCTCGAATGTGTTGTTTTTTTTTTTTGCGTGGGGAAATAAGAATCTTCAAAATAAACATGCACTCACTTGTAAACCAGAATATCGGTGCAAGTTTTAACACAAAGGCCTATTGTAAAAACAGCTTTAGTTTAAGTCACCCCACCTGACCAAAGTTGCACCATTGGCTATTCTGGTGCTTTGAATATTTTTCCTGTCAAAGTATTCAAAACTTGGAATACTAGCTATTCAAAAGTCTAAGTGTACTATTCAATTTGAATTCAAACCACGAATATTCACACAACCCCACTTTCTATTCAAGGATTATATATTTCCTTTTACACTCAAACCTCATTATAACAAAGTTACATCTTGCGTAACAATAAGTGTGTTACATCTGAAAATTTGCCATAAAGGTATATTACAAACACTGCACCTATTGCGAGACAATTCTTTATTTACTTCGTTATGACTGGTATTTCGTAATATCTGGATTCATTATATCGAGGTCTGAGTGTTGATTGATTGACATTTGTGTGGGGTTCAACAACCCAAAACCACCATATGATTATGAGAGACCCCGCAGTGGAGGACTCCGGAAATTTTGACAACCTGGGGTTCTTTTAACGTGCATCCAGATATGAGCACACGGGCCTACAGCATTTTCGCCTCCATCAAAAATGGAGGTTAGAGTGTATCAACTAGCCAGCATCTCCAGTTTAAAAAGGTAGAGCACATGCCGAAAAATCATCCTAATAATACTTATTGCTAATTGCCTATAGGAGACTGCCAGCTGCCACACAAGAACAAACGTAAAGAAGAGCGATGTATGAAAATGTTCAATGTTTCGGTATTTCTTTCATCACTGTAGGAATTTAGGCATTCTGAAAGCGATTAAAAACTAAAATCTTTTTCATAACAATTCACCATGTAGAAATTTAGGCATTCTTGAAGTCACCACAAGCTTTTCTGCAACAATTTACCAACTACAGAGTGCCGGCTTTTGAATATGATTTCTTAAACTTAAGTTTTCCACAAAAAAATGCAAAACAGCGGTTGGAAAAAAAAAATTCATGTCAGTGATATGATGGGACATACAAACTAGCCAGAAAACAGCCACGTCTCGTTAGAAATGCTCATGGGGAGATAAAATCTCAGGCAGGCACGCTACATTTATCCGAAATGATTTTGGATGGCACAGACTGTTCGGCTCAACATGGATGAGATGTTCTCATTCAAAATAGTGAAGGAGTCAAAAAAACTGAAAATGAAACAAATGAAGACGACCATTATTTCATTCAGATTTTAATTCAATGTAATATATCTTTCCACTCGCACAACAGCAGCAACAGGTGCCACATAACAACACTGCACCGGGAGTGTAACCAAATTTCACGTGGCACTCCTACCACAAATTTGTGTTTGGTTTAAAAGAAAGCACACAATAACATCTCTTTGCAATGGTCCAGCACAGAAAATTATGGGCATTAAAATGCAATCTGCTGCATTGGTAAGCATGAAGTAAACGGTGACTTTTGTGGAAACAGTTATGCATACCACAATCAAGAATGCCGACAACAGGTTATGCAACAGGTAGTGCGACGTAGTTGAGTTTCCAATAAAGCAGGAAAAACAAACAAACAAAAAGAACAGGCAGTGCCTGTCTTGTGGCACTACTCGACTGACTATATGTTTCCGGTAATGTAACTAGACTATTCGTCATACAAATAACGTCAAATAACCTGCTAAACACACCACTAATAACAAATAACAGCTCCTCTTTAGAAAGCTATGGCGAATGAACGAAGAAAGCAATTTGCGCTTCAACAAAACATAACGAAGCGATAGTAAAGATCCTGAGTACAACACACAAGTTAAAATGCTAAAACTGTAAGTGCAAAACGATCGCGATTCTTCCACATCACAACTTGAGCTAAACATAACAAAGCGATACTTGAAAACAACAAGTTTCAATACCAACACTATATAAGCGCAGAACGCATGCAATTATTGCAAGGACGTGACCTATGAAAACAAGCGTCACATACTACTTATACACCATGTGATCACATTTGCTATGCATGTGAATGCAACATGACAATAGCTTTAACTTATCATAAAAGACATGTTCCTGCCTGGTTCCAAATTGTTCCAAGGAGGCAACAGAACTCTATAATCAACTAAAATGTGTATAAAATGTATAACAAGAGTAAATATGATTCCATAACTATCAGTAACTATGTTTCGCAAAAATGAAAATATTGCTGCGCAAGCTTGTTTTTGTTGTGACAAAATATCTGCGCCGCCAAGTCGAACTGAAGCGTGAAACAAAGGAAAAAAAAAAGCAATGCAGAACATAAATATGCAATAAGGAATTATGCACAAAAATAAATCACAAGTTCTCTTTTTCTGCCTTAGCAACACAAATAAATAAGCTTCGAAATCCGCAACATTTACACCAAAATAGATGGCACTGCACGTGCAACGTAAAACCAAATGTCTGTTACATGTGGAATTCACCAGAACAAACAGAGCCACTACACATTTGACTGCAGCTTGGTATAGGACTGGCTACCAGCTGCATCCATGTTTTTCAAGTATTCTGGACAGCTATACTTGAACTGTCATTGACACTTTAAATGCTTGTGAAACCACAAACTTCAGAGGCACAATGAAATGCAGACAAAATTCTATGAGACTGAAGTGTTAGGCAACTCTGTTTCTTTCGATGAATACTCTACATGCTATTAAACGAACTTCACCGGTCATCTTCATGATATGACACCACGAGGCCTTCATGTCACGTCGGCACACACTGAAAAAGATTTCTGATAAACCGACATCGTGTTTTCAAAACTGGGCAAATCAGTGCCTCACTGCGATCACAGATTTCACCGGAATAGCTCTCCCGCAAATCTCTGGCTAAGAAAAGACGGAAACGCTTAACAAAGAAGGCCAAAAAGCAAAAATACGTGCCACATGGAAGTTTTTTATGGGTCGGTGTACTGATGGAATGGACTAGAAGGAAAGAACAGCTCGATACAAAACGATACTGCCATATGGACAGCCTAGAGGTATAGCGCGCAATGCCCGATTTCTTCGCTTAGTTTGAATGCATCCTTTACACTGATCAATATGAGACTCCAAGTGAATAGATTCAATGCCAGTAACACGTACCAAGGGACAGTACAGGACTGCAACTCAACTGTCTCGACACACACACCCTGTGCTGCTGAAATTCGCTTAAATCAACCAACACTGTCACACCAGCTTGACACGACGAGGCTTCGTAGCATCACTCTTGTTGAGCGATTTGCTGCTCATGCTCTTCTTGCTCTCTCTCTAGGATTTGGAGAACAGCCTCGGGAATGTTGCCCTCGTCCATCTCCTTGAAATACTGTCGGTACTGAAACGAGCAGCGAAAATGCTTTCTATATTGATGCTGTTTAGTCACTGCTCCTCACAAGAAGAAAATCACAGCATATCCACGGAGTGAATGCCGTTCATCCTAGTGTCCATCCGTCTGTGCATCTGGACAGACAGATAGAAGCACGAACTGAAGGACGCACTGATCGACGCACAGACGCTTCGCCCCACTCATCATCATTCGCTCCGTGAATATGCTGTGAAAACCACAATTGCTATATAATTATACTATTCCTAAAGACATAAACACACACCACCATCTATTGAACAAGTCATAAACTAGAGGTGGCTACACACATAAATATGGAGGAGGGAATGACCATCTGCCAAAGAAGTTTCAACCCTAGAATTAGAACACTGTGAAGGAACAAATCAACACTTTTTTAGCAAGGTAAGAAAAAACCACCATGTGGTAGCCAGTGGCATTTTATGTGGGCCAAACATTGTAGTGCAGCAAGTAGCTTGTAATTTACACTCTCAAAGTCGCTATAGGTAACAATTATTACCTCTTCATTCGAGAAACGACGCGGTATACTCAAATGACCATGCTATATAACCAAATTCATAGCCAGTGACTGAGGTGGAAGTCCTGAGTCACGTAGTTACTGTGGTCGCTGCGGGAGGCCGCCACACGCTCATGCATGCACTCGCGATCACAAAGAAAGTAAGCTCAAGGTCTGAAAGGTGCTCAAGGTCATGACGTGTGTGTGATATACTTTCTTTCTTCTGTGCCACCCTTTCCTGCTAAGCTTCCAGCGCTTTCGTCAGGACGAGAGAAGAGAGAAAGCAATTTAAGTGTGCAACAAATCTTTGACTCCACTTGTACCGGATGAATTCCCAAAATTTTGTGGCAGTCTATTCGAGAGGCAATAAGCTCCTTCAATGAATCCTTTCCATGGATTTTCAGAAAAGCGCTGTAGAGCCCTTTTAATCATCAGTATTATCATCATTCATTAACCAAAGGCCTATACAAGGCATTATATAAGGGGGGACAATATCAGGGCCATGTCATGACACAAATGCAGTGTTTGAATAATGAGTAAAAAGCAAAGTAATTTTACAGCAGATAAACAAAAAAGGCAGAGTGAATTGAAATAGTGTTGGAACTAATACACATTGTAGGTAGTTGGTGCGAACACCAATGAATACCTAAAAAAAGAGTACTGATGAACTAATCAGCATTCACTTATGGCAGTATTCGACTCGTATTAAATTCAGTTCAAAAGACCACCACTGACAGAACACTTCCCAACAATGTCCTTTTGTACAATCAAACCTTGTTCAAAAAAGCACTAGGACCATAATTTACAGTAAAACCTTGGTGATACAATCACAGTCCACATGGATTTTGGGGTGATGAGATTTTTTTTTTATGGTCCTGGTTAAGGCCCATTATGAATTTGTTTACAGCACAACACCAGAAACACAGGACAGGGAAGGAGCAAGAGAGAAAGACGACACAGTCTTTTCTTTCTCTTTTGCTTCTTACCTGTCTTGTGTTTTTGGTGTTGCGTTGTAAACGATTTCACGATAAATCCCAACCAACTGGCCCAACTTACTGTCTTAGGGCCCATTAGCCTGCAATGTATTGGAGAACGCTTGTTGCAAACAGATTTTCAGCCTGCTATATCAGATAGAAACATACACTAGTGTGCACACATACGAGCAGGTGCTAGCCGAGCTCTCGTGAAAAACGCGGCAATCACACACGGGCCGCAAGCGTGCACTAGGCGCGATGATCAGCAGGGCAATGTTGCCTCCGCGATTGTGCGTACGAATCTTGCAGGCCTTGATATACCTTTGCGTTCCGACTACAAATGGCTTTGGCGATGTACAGATGGCTTTGGCGATGTACAGATGGCTTTGGCTACTAGCAGTAAATGGGCACAACACATCTGGATCATTAATTACACGAGCATGCACTGCATATTCATGAGTACAAGCATGATCAAGAACCTCAAGAAACATTACTGGCAATCATTCTGAGTTGTTTATGACGCTGCTGCCACCCTAAAAAACAATAAATCAGAACATATGCTAACTTTTTTTCTCGCACAATGATTTCCCATGTTTTCTGGTGTTACAAATTTCAGATGATAAGAATATTATTGGAGGCCCTATGCATCACCGAGCTTTTACTGCAGTTCATTATATGAAGTACTCTTCTAGCTATAGTGATAATAATTAGCTCTGACAAATTGCATATCTGGCTTGTGCATAAGTTTTACGTACAAAAACAGATTGTTCTAGGCTTTGTAGTGCGCACGTATACCCAAGGATTACGGACACTAGCGTGGGTCCGGTTTTAGCGAGCTGCAGAACACGCGTTAATCATCGCCGTGGTGAGAACACGATACTGCTCAAGGTCACAACACTTCATTGCCTGCGGCAACACCAAAAACGCAGTACAGAGCCTGTTGCAAAGGCGCGGCAGGAAAGCGAATGGGCTTATCCACACCACGAGTGAGAAGTGCTACACAGGGTACCGCGAGCACATCTCCGTGGTAAAAGTGATTCACGGAGACACCGGGACAAAGGCCCAGTTGCTCGAGCGAGGGCAAAGGCACTCTCGTTTGCTTCGGAGAGATATGGGTCGGCGCAGTTTGACAACGCACTAGGACACCGAACCACTCTTCAACCTAGCGTTCGGCAGGGAGGGGGGCGACATAAGTTAAGCATTTGCCGCGGGCAGAAGGCGCTGTTGGCGAAGTCCGAACGAGGCCCAAACAAAGGGATCCGACAGTCGGAAAAGAGAAGCGTGCTTACCGCCATGTCGTCCCCGGAAAGGTCTCTTTCACTCCCAACGCGCGCACGGGCGAAGCCTCTCAAGAGACTGCGCGCGGTGCCACAGTCGACATCCGCTACCGCGTGAGAGGGGTTAAGCGTCACTCCTCGCTCTCCCAGCGCGGCAGACCATGTAGGAGGGGAGTCATGTTGGGACATGAGAACAAAAAAAGAGGCGGCAAAGCCCCCGCAAACGTGGCGGGCTAGCCTCAATTTCCATAGCTTAGGCCACTGTAAATGAAGTAATGCCTACCTGTCTCTTCGTGGGATTTCAAACTTCAATTAAAATGGTGGTGCAACCAATGAAATACGTCTTTCTCCTTGAATGACAGAAATTTCCGTTTTTTTTTTTACAAACAATTGTAGATGTGGTTGTGAACGATATTTCAAAATTTATTATGCTTATGATGCTACCTTTCCGGTTCCGAGCATTATGCGAGTCAAACCTTTTTTTTTTGCTACAGACAGTATCACGGTGGCTATACCACATTCAGATTCACAAGTGCTACAGAAATCTAACGTGACAAACGAAGAAAAGAAAGGGGTACATATTGCACTATTGGCACAAGTCTGGAGCCTACCGCATAGCTGGGCAGCCTTCCTCATTTCCCTTTATTTTTCTTTTTTTCTTGTTTTTTAATATCTTTTTTTATTCATTTCTTTTTTTTTTCATTCTACATATTTCTTCATCTTACTCCTTGTATATGTTCACCTTCTTCTCTTACTCTGTTTTTCTAATTGCCAATTTCTCTTCCTATTTTTTTTTTCTCTTTGCTTTCTTTCTCTGCCTTTTTCTCATGCCTCTTGCTCTCTTTGCTTTCGTTCTCTTGCCTATCCGAGTTAATGCATCCCACTCTGGATAAATAGGCACAGTGGGAGTGCGTGCACCGAGCGCACATGTTTAGGGAGCAAAGCAGAAGATGAGGGAGGACATAAAAAATGAAGAAGAGAAGAGAGCACATGCCGACATGATGATGGTTGCTTGCCTACATAGCGAGTCCAACAAACAGAAGGCATAACATCTCTACAGTAAAATTCGCTTTGTGTTCGCTTCGACCAAAAATTTGTTGTATCAGCATTCATTATAACGAGGTTCTACCGTATCTGACCATCCCAAAGGGAAATTGCTTGTTGTGGTACGCCAGAGCTTGTTTGCAGCAGTGGCCTCCGCTCACCATGTCAAGCTCGTGGCGCAGCACCAGCACGGCCTTCTCTCGATCAGCCACCAATTCCTCGAGGTACTGGTAGCGCAGCTTCTTGCGTGCCCGGCACTCTCGTGCGCTCTGTCGGCTGCGCTCCAGCTTGGCTCTCATATCACACCGCTTGCTTCCACTTCCGCCGCCGCTGCTGCTGCGCCCTCCTCCGCCTGACGCTGAAGTGCCAACGGAGCTGCCCGAGCTGCGCCGACCCCGCCTTCCGCCGCGGCCCTCCTCCTCTGCACTCTCCTGCATGTGACCGACAGACAATCAATGACGACAATACCAATGTGCTTTAAAGAAGTGAACCGAGGTGAGGCGAGTCACACACAGTGCAACTGTCAACTTGTTTTGAAGGGTGAACTTGTCGGCCAGTTGGTTTAACATGTCATACGGTAATAGCGCAAAAGACCAGGACAACTGAAGCATTATTGCGGCAACGAATGCAACAAAGCCTTGTCCTTTGCACTGTTACCCAAAGATATGCTAAACCTATTTATTTGAAAAATGAAGGTAACATAAGATACACCTGCTGTAGCATGTGAATCAAGGTCTGTGCTTTCGAAATCAGTGAGCGCTCAAAAACTGTGTCACTTTCTCAGCTGATGTCAACGAAGCTACACTTGGTGCTAACTGTAAAGTGTGCTGGAACAACAGTGAGAATGTCTGTACTGTATTGCACAAGACATTAAAAGAGCCCTGAAACACTCTTCCAAGTAACAATTGAATGGCTTATTTAAAGCAGTTCATAGCCTCCAAGTCAACCGCCACTAAACATTGTAGGATGCGTCACGTACGAGCAGAGTTATGTCACACACTGTAATTGCTTTCCGACTTCTCTTGTAATGACGAAAGCGCTGGAAGATAACCAGAGAAGGATTGCACAGGGGAAAGAAGTCACATGTGCACCATGACCTCTGGCACTTTTTTCTCGAAAATGTGGCTTACTTTCAATGTGATCGTGCGCACCTGCATGGGCACGCGACGACCTCTGTAGTGACTATGATGCTCATCTTGCTCACTCAGCCAATGGTCGTGAATCTGGGTATATTCCATGGTTAGATGGGTACTATATGGTTTCATTTGTAAAATGAGGAGAAAACGATTTTCAGCTGACTAAGCGAATTAATCGTAAATTCCAAAAGCGCATGCGGTGCTGTCATGTTTCTCCTGCTGTTCTTCGGAGCCTTGGCTACCTAGCAACAGCATTTTCAGACCCTGCTGGAAAAGTACTGCAAGGACCCTTCAACACACAAACTCTTCTCTACGCCCCTTGCTCGGCCCTCAATAGTTAATTTTTTTTCATGCTGCTAATGTCTTGAACAAACAGTAATGGTAGAGGCTTTACATCTTAAAACTATGATATGAATATGAAGAATGCTGTGTTGGAGAGCTCTCGAAATTTAGACGAGCTTGGGGTTCTTTAATACACGCCTAAATCCAAGTACACAAACCTCTCGCGTTTCGCCCCCATCAAAATGCGGGAAAGATTTGATCCTGTAACCTATGGTTGTACACAGAAATAAATCACACTGGAGGGACCCTACTGGTGAATACTACAAAGCAAAAAACATTTGCAGCAAGTTTCATGTATTGAAGAATATACTATATGCATCATGGATGAAAGACGAATAATATAGTACTTTTTTAAATGAAAGCATATTAACTTTAAGTGAAAATAGGTTCATTAAATTATGTGATGTTCATAATAAACAAACATCTGTTGCACATTGATGATGGCAAGAATCGTTATGTATTAAATATTTTGTATAAAAAATTCATATCACACAAGACGAGAATGGAGGTAGAGCAGTCCTGTTAACCAATTAAGCAGATCACTGAACGGGTGATTGGGGAGTTCTCACAGGTGCTGTTGTATGGCGATGGCATCATGTGCAGGCATTATACACATAAAAAAATTAATTGGTTCAACACAAATATCTCTGTCAGAAAGTGAGTCATATGGTTCATTTCACGATAGTCTCTGCTTTCTATAAGCCGTATAACTTCATCAATTTTTTTTTATAAGTCTTAGCACAGCACTCGCAAGAAAAAAATTCAACTTTACAGGCTAAAGGGTCCTAAACCAGTAGCTTCTCATGTATTTCCAGATAGTACTTTGAAGTTGTTTTAACTGCAAAAGAGCGCACTTTAACTGACCGCAAAGAATCCGATACGCAAACTTTAGTATTTTAAGGTAATGATGACTTTATGCAGCTTACAAAATATGCACTATATGAAAAAAAAAAAGAAATTTACGCGAATCACACTGGAATTCGGGACAAGAAACCTGGGAACTATAACAATGAAGTTCTTTCTTCACACGGAATAGACGTCAAGTGTCCACTGAAAAAAAATTACGACTAATAGGCAAGTACGCAGCAGGATTTTAACTCTGGGACGTGTTCTAATCATTTGAACACCGCTCGGTAGGAAAATTGATCAATCGCCAATGGCAACGTCACGACGAAGTAGCCAGGATCGGACGAAGTCGGACGTTGCACGGAATTAGCCGATATGCCCACTGAATTGCCCACCGCGACTGAGCCTACGCAGCGCCACGCGCAAAATGACGCAGTCGTGCGACAGCGCGTTAGGATGATAAAGTCACCTGCTGTAGAGAAAAACCGACTCGCTCACTCTCTACAAACGCCAGCAATCTAGCACAGTACATTAGGGCGATTGCCGTCGTAAGCGAACCCAAGACCTCGCGCGGTGGTTTCGGCGACATGCGTCGCAGAACGAAACCCCCGTCACCAAAAAAAAAAAAAAAACACACAAACGTATCGGGGATTGAGAAGTAGGGACGACGTGCCACTGGGTGTACTTCGATACACTATACGTACGTGTTTCGGATGTTCAGTGCCGGACCTCTTTCGTCCGAGGACCTTGCCCCGTGAGCCACCTGTGCGCCCTAAAGATAGCGGTAGTAGTACACAATTGTGCCGATTACTCAGCCGAAGAACAGCGGTGTGCGCCGCGCATAAACTTACGTGCCGCTGACCGTCAGTTGTGGTAGAGAGGGGAGGGGCGAGAGGCGGTTGCCACTAGGGATAATGACTACAACGTCAGGCTCGTCTGGTCGCTAGATTTCGTAGTGCCTCGTTGCTTCTTGCGACTCGACGTTCAGATACGATAAGCTCAGCTAGAGACACCTGCGCGATACACGGAGCTTTACTAGTGGTGCTCGGAACAGCTGGTCAAGGCGACAGCTGCGACGGTCTTAATTTTTTGTAAGAGCAAACCAACGTTGCCAACGTCACGTCTGTTGTCTAATGTGTAACGGTAACTGCGACAGTAACTACCTTTGACTCTACAGAAGGTGATGGCAATAACTTTGTTTCAGATGAGAACACGCGGTCGCCCCCACTTCGACCTCCACACGCACTCAGAGCACGGCGCAACTAGGTGTTCTGTGGCGCAACCGCAACCAAGTGCAGGGGCACAAAAAGAAAAAGTACCTAGGCGCTAGGGAAACAGAGAGTCGGATTCGATCGAGAAAAACGAGGCCCTTTGAATGGATTGCATAACAAGAATGAATACGATTGACACCGACCAAATGCATCCACATGCAACCACTGTGGCTGCAAAAAAAAGCGAGGCCACTTAAGTGGATGTATGTGGGCAATAAACTGGCGTAACGCGAGACGCCCGAGAGAAAAAAAAAAGTGCATCTTGAGACGCGCGTAAAAATTCGCAATCCACGAGGAGACATGCACACAGATCACACTGTACACACGAAAGCCTGAAATGTGTCGCGCGCACGGCTTACTGAGCAGAAAAAAAATGAGTGGCTATTCAAAATGGCAGCGTGAGCATGTCACGACACGCATTGTAGGGAGATCCGCCATTCTGTTATGGCTACATGACAACGTCATTTGACAGCTGTTGAAATCGAGGGATGTCCACAAATTTCATCACCCGTGTGACTCGAGAACGAAGCGTGAAGGAGCCGTAGTATTCAGCACTTGGAAGCGCTTTGCAGTGCAAGGAAGACGGAAAAGAAACCGTTCGTTCGAACAACGGTGAGGAACCAAAGGTTTCATAACATATGAACATTACGCTTATCGTAGTGACGCTTAGAACAATCGAATCTTGATATACTTGCCTTCTTAACGTAGTGGAACTCGTATTCGTCCGTTTCCATCTGCATTATCCGAGTGACATATCTCGTAGCAACTGCATTCAAGCAGTCACATCTCTGCAACCAACGTGTATCTGTTTACCTCGTCATATGTTTGGAAGTGTTTCAGCCGCTCAAAGCGCAAGGTGGTTTCGTACTCAACAATAACAACATTCAAGGTCGGGTTTATGAAAAAAACTTTACAAAACACATCATTAACACAAATGTTATTTTTGTCAAGTTTCACCTTATTAATATATTTGCTTGATATATTTGTGCGTAAGGTGAGGTTCCCCGTCATTTTGGCACCTACACATTTGCGCGCGGAATTTGAGCGCACTCTTGAGTCAATTTTCGTCTGGCGAATCTTCAGTTAAACTCAACCACGCCAATGTAGTAATGAATTTTTTACAAGTCTGTCCACAAGTCAGCATTCAGTGCGGTTTAATTAGGGAACTATGCCTGGAGTGAATATTACGTCGAAAAAATAACCAAAAAGGCCTCTCGTACACTTGGTTACCTAAACTGAAATCTTCGGTATGCTCCGTCAACGACTCGAAAACTAGCCTAATTATCATTTGTCTGACCAAAGCTGAAATTAGCAACGTCCGTACGGTCTCCTAACCAAGCATACCTGATTCATACACTCGAATCTATACGAAATCGTGCAGCTCGTTTCATCGTTGCCCCGCCGCGGTGGTCTAGTGGCTAAGGTACTCGGCTGCTGACCCGCAGGTCACGGGATCGAATCTCGGTGGTCGAAGAGAGGCTTTGAATTCAACGGCGTTCCCTCGTGCCATAGAATATTGAAACAATCTTCCAGATAAAACTGTTGGTATACGCGACGCTTAAACGTTCAAAAAAGCACTGAATATTATGTTTTCATAGCTTTTCCTAACGTTTGTGTTTTTTTTTCTCTCGCATAGCCTCGACACACGGCTTTTACAAAGAATGCTCGCTCTTGCTTAATTCGTATGGTCGAGTGAAGTGTTTTCATTGCGCATTTCGTTCTGTCGCCTTCAAGCTTATTACTAGTACTATATTCAGCGTACTGAAAGATTTGTGTTTAGTATTCGCTTTGTACAACTTATCTGTTCCTGCATTCACTAACTCATGATGTGTGCTGTTTGAATTATGATGTAAGATTCCCCCCCCCCTCACATAATGTTCCAAATGGTAACCTGTGATGTACTTGAATATGTAAATAAATAAACATTGCTCAGGAGTGAAGCCGCACCCACAACATGTTGGCGGCTGTGAACGATATCCTTCTAGGGGTATGATGTGTTCAGAAAGATCAGTTGACGGTTTAGAGTACTTGGTACTCTACAATGGCAGAGCATAAGGCCGTCCCATAGGCGTCACATCAGAGAACCAGAATGTGTTGCCCCGCCACAGTGGTGTAGTGGCTAAGGTACTCGGCTGCTGACCCGCAGGTCGCGGGTTCGAATCCCGGCTGCGGCGGCTGCATTTCCGATGGTGGCGGCAACGTTGTAGGCCCGTGTGCTCAGATTTGGGTGTACGTTAAAGAGCCCCAGGCGGTCGAAATTTCCGGAGCCCTCCACTACGGCGTCTCTCATAATCATATGGTGGTTTTGGGACGTTAAACCCCGCATATCAATCATTATCAATCAGCCAGAATGTGTATAGAAAATAAGTGTTTTACGATTTTGAGTACTTCTTACTCAACTATGGGAGAGCAGTGAGCTGTCTCGAATTGCGCGGTTATGTTTAGAAAAAGTGCTTAACGATTTCGAGTATTTCGTACTCGACTATGGGAGAGCAGTGTGCCGTCCCGACGTTTAGGGGATATACGAAACGTTGTGACTCTGAAGTGAGAAGCAAATTGTAGTATCGTGCGTCGCGTCCGACGCACGGTGTGTTTAGAAAAAGTTGTTAACGATTTTGAGAGCTTCCGTATTTCTCGCGCGCCCGACGCACGGTGTGTGTTTAGAAAAAAGGGTAAACGATTTAGAGTACTAAGTACTCTACTATGGTAGAGCAGAAAGCCGTCCCAGAATAAGTAGAACGGTCCCCGGTGTGTTCAGAAGAAGTGGTTAACGATTTAGAGTACTTGGTACTCTACTATGGGAGAGCATGAAGCCGTCCCGAGGGAATGTCCCTAATAACGCCCATAAGCGCCGTAGTGTTTAGAAAAAAAAATGTTCGACGATTTAGAGTACGCCGTACTCTACAATGTGTTTTGATAAAACTAGTGAACGATTTAGAGTACTTGGTACTCTACTATGGGAGAGCACTAGGCCGTCCCGTGGGACTATCAACCACCACAGAATGTGACGGTTACAGGATGTTACGCATAAGAAAACGGCGGCATTCGGGTGGGGGGGGGGGGGGGGGGGGTTAGAGAAAGTGGGTAACGATTTTGAGTACTTGGTACTCTACTATGGGAGAGCTTAGAGCCGTCCCGTATGTGTTAGCGAAAGTTACAATTTCGAAGTCGTAATTGTTTGTAGAGCGTTTTTCTCGCACACCTAACGAATTCAACGCAGCAACTTTTTCGGGCCAGATAGTGTTCAAAGTGCGTCTTTGTGTTACTAGTTTTTCTAAGTAAGACCCGAATTCTAGGCAGATTTCATTAGATAAAAACTCACCGATACTCGTCTCTAGATGTTATTTTGTCAGGAACAAGCTATCTTTTAATTTATAAATAACGTAGCGCTTACACTATCAGATCAAAGCCGCTTCATCTCCAAGTGGGCACCACTAGAAAAGAGTATGCTTCTGAGATCATTGGACTCTGCCGTGCTCTCGCTCGTACGTATATATAAATGGAGTGAAGCGCACGCCTCACTCGACAGCACGGAGCAAGCATATTGCTCGACCGTTCACTGGCTAATGAATGTGTAAATTAATAGTCACGGTACACATCCTCGTCTCGTCACTAATTTACGCCATTAAAATAACTAAGCAGTGTACTCTCAGCGCAAGAAATGCATTCGCATTTCCTCACAATTTTTTCGCGGATGTGGGGGAAATGTCTTAATCCTCCTTGGTCTGCAGGCGGAAATTGAGAACCGGTGAACGGGGATAACGAATAAAAAAGTTTCCAGTGCCTAAAAAATAAAAAAAACATACAGGAACCACACACAACACACCGCCCAACCTATGTGTTTTTGAAATGTATTACCGAATTTTCGCCAATATATATCCTCCCACAGTGGCATGAGTGTGTCACGTGCACGAAGCTTCTTTTTTTTTTTTAGGGGCGAAGCTCCTTAGGGCGTGGGCTGTGCGTCCCCTGTAGCCTGTATGTAGCCACCTCTAGTTTAGTTCTTGCAGTGTTCACTAGATGGCGGTACCGTCCCCTGTATGTATGTGATTTACTGGATGGCAGCTATGGAGAAAAAACCGGCTTTGAGTAACTACCGAAAGGGCAAAAATGAAATAAGGAGGGAGGCATTTTACGATAATTCAAGGGGAAGCGCTTTACTGTTTGAAGCGAGATCGGGTTGCCTTAGAACGCGTAGTTATAAAGCAAGATTCAGTAAAGAAGAAGAACAATGCACATGCTGCGGGAAAGATAAGGAAACGGCGGAGCATGTTCTGATTGAATGTGATTGATTGATTGATTGATTTGTGGGGTTTAACGTCCCAAAACCACCATATGATTATGAGAGACGCCGTAGTGGAGGGCTCCGGAAATTTCGACCACCTGGGGTTCTTTAACGTGCGCCCAAATCTGAGCACATGGGCCTACAACATTTCCGCCTCCATCGGAAATGCAGCCGCCGCAGCCGGGAATCGAACCCGCGACCTGCGGGTCAGCAGCCGAGTACCATAGCCACTATACCACCGCGGCGGGGCCTGATTGAATGTGGAGATATCCACCCAGGTGTACGTTTG